TCTAGGTCGAATCTTTAGACACGTTATTAACTATGTCGACGTTAATGAAAGGGACAAGAAGCTTTGCGAGATGCGATACACTAGCCTCAATTTCGAACACGTGCACGGACGTAAGGACACAAACACGACAAGCCAGTGATTACGCAGCATTGTCTGCGTAATCCGCGATTCGTGCCGCATTTGTCTTATATCGTATGACGTCATGTTGCACGTCACATCAGCTATTTGTTAAGCACATGCATGCGTCAATTAATACAAAACATGTAAAATAGTTGTAAAACGATATACGGCATTGAAATCTCCGCACAATTCTCTTCAATTCTATTATACATCGATGCGGAGAGCTTTTGCAACCACCGATACGCAGATTTTAATCGTTTCGCGATAGTTTGAGCGAAAGCACGCTTCTAAACAAAAGAAACTCTGCATGAAAGCATAGATTATTCAATTAAATGTAACTTCATCATACAAGAGCAATATAAGCGAATAATTCTAAACTTTTATATACATCCTACTTTCAGAAATAATAAATAAAAGCGTTTACTAATATTCTTAATAATAATATAACGGATAATAGTAATGTTTGATATTAAATAGTTATTAAGTATATAAATGCATTCAAGTTCGATCAATAACTGTTAAAGCGATTCTTGGCTAAAAAAAATGTCTCGCTAAAGACGAAAGAATTGAAAAAATAATAAAAAACTGGAACGTTTTCTAAATATTATTACCATTTGCGAACCACTCGAACCTAATTTAAAATTTGTCACGTAGAGATAAGCTTCTAAAAATATTCCGGAACGTCAGTTCCTGTATAGCCGTACTCGGATAACGCGCATTTCCCAACGGAGGGCCACTTTTGATGAATAACGAGCAAATCGATAAGAAACCACATGTCTCGGTCTATCGCACAAAATGACGTCAGTGCTAATCACGATGAATGGCCGATAGGTAAACGAATACGAGAAGCGCGAGCAAGTCATTATTCGAATCAAGCTGAGCGTACATAGTCGGCGCGACGACGCGACGACGACGCGACGACGGCATCGATTCATTGACAAAGCGACGGTATTCCGGAAAACAAATCGGTCAGTGAGATTTAAACGAAAATTAAAATAAAAAACAATCGGTTTCAGGTATAATATGCGTGTGTTGGATAGCGGGTACTCTGGTGGGCTTTCTGCCGCTCTTCGGATGGAACGCCGGCGAGACCAGCGACCACCGGTGCATGTTCACGAAGGTGATGGATTACGACTATCTCGTGTTCTTGTACTTTGCCACCATCATCTGTCCGGCTCTGCTGATCGCGGCGTTCTACGCCCACATATATCGGGTTATCGTGAAGCAGGTCAGTCGTACGAAAGAGGCCGAGCGCCGACACGACGGCGCGACGCGGAAAATAGCCAAAGAGTGTAACGACGGTTGTAGTTACAGCAAATCGTCACGGTGGACCCCGGCACCCGCGGCGGTGGTGCGGTTCGCCGTTTCGGCGGTCTGCATTTCGGCGATCATCACCAGACCGGGACGATGCTGCGTGTGCTCGGCGCGGCGCGCAACGGGAGGTCAAGGCCACGCAGAATCTCTCGCGCATCGTCCTCTTCTTCATCGTCTGCTGGTTCCCGCTCTACACGATCAACTGCGTGATGGCTTTCTGCCCGCAATGCGAGGTGAATGACTTCTTCCTCAATTTCTGCATCATCCTCTCGCACATCAATTCGGTCGGCAATCCGCTGCTCTATGCGTATCACCTCAAGGACTTTCGCGCCGCGCTCAAGAACTTCGTGTGGCGGCTGCTCTTCCCGAACAGCGACGTCAAATCCAGCGTGATCAGCGTGATCCACGATCGGGGATCCCTCGCCGGATCGCAGAGACAATTTACGGCCTCCCAGAGGCGATTCAGCGGCTTTCCTCAGTCGAGAAGTCAAAGACCGAGTCTGCTACGTCAGGTGCGTTTCATTATATATTTAACTAAGTGTTCTGTGTATTTTTTTTATCGCTCTAATTGTTCCTAAAAAATCAAAAATTATTATAATCAACTTGCAAGCTTAACTAAATTTGTCGGGTAATCAAATTTGAAATTATCAACAACAGAAACAATTATAAGATAACTAAATTACAATTTTTTCTTTCGCATTTACTCGATTCGATTTATCCTTTCGTTCGATTTACGATCTATTTCGTTCCGTTGGATATTGCAGGTGATCGACGACAGAAGACTAAGCAGCGCGTATGCGGAAAGGCGCGTTTCATCGATACGGGAGAAGGAGCCGCGGCAAAACGCTGCAGCAGACGTCGGCACCGTGGTCGGAAGCGCGATCCCAATTAACAATTCCGCGCCGACCAAGGACCGGGTAAACGAAGAAGAAGTGGTGAGCGACGGCGATACCGTCGACTGGAACGGCGATGCAACTGACGGCGGAACTTGCTCGATGGAGCTACAAACGTACAAGTTGCTGGCGTCGCTCCTGCCGGCCGAGGAGCACAGCGTCGAGGAAACCCCGCCTGTATCGACTTTTGTGATCGAGGTCGACGTGGTGAATCATGCCACTCCCGATCACCTTCGTCTGGCTCTAGAGGAGTCTCGAGACAGAATCGACGTAGCAGGCGGATAACCGTGAAGAATAAAACAACCGTACTTGCTCGTACGTGAAAAAAAAAGGAACATTTGCAATCTTTAAAAATGCGACGAAATATTTATAGAAGAACATGTATATTTTTTTCTTATTTTTGCTATCAAGATCTCTGTTGCTCGAATTATTATATTATTAATTATGTACTGAGTGTGCCATATAGCATACGTCACATGTGTTTAGTGTAAGTTTCAATTGTTAGAATAAGTTACGTTAAAACAGAACAACAGTGATATATTCGAGCTTCGAACAAAAAGACAAAGTGATAAACAAAGTGGTACGTCTAATCTTTTAATCATGTATTATATATATAAATAAAATACTAAGACGAACGGAACGAAATATTCGGAAATCCACACGAAAATTTAAGGACATCACCGAGAAAAGGAAAAAGAATTTCTTGAATGTCTAGTCATTTTAAGTATGCAATGCTATATAATTTAGGATTTACGAAGAATTGCGGAGTAATTAATGCCGAGGAGGACAATATACTTGATTACAGAACCTGTTATTAAAAGCTGACCAAAACACGCTATCGCGACCAGCTCTCGCTGGTCACCGACAGTGAAACAGAAGTGCATGAAATGAATTCGGAAAAAAAATCGAATTACACGAACAGTGACGCAGATACTGTAAAAAATATTTTCCTTAATTAACAAGCTGCTCCGGGAAATTATCTTGCGGTATCTCCTTCTATATACTTAATGTTGTAAAATAAAACGGTGCATATTACACTTGTCTTCGCGTGTATTCTTAAAGTAGAGCATTTGCACATTACTTGTGCAGCTCTCGTGCGTTATGTCGTTAAGATAAATGTAGTGATCATGCAATTCTTTTTCTCTTCCTTTATATCCTCTATAAACAGGGTATTTAAGTGCATTTACCGCTGATAGTGATATAATACTCTTTTAAAATTAATAATAAATTAATAACCTTTCAATATAATTAAAATAATAGATTTAATTAATAAGAATCTCAAGATGTGAATAATTTTTTAGCTCTTATTAAAATATAATGGACTTGTGAATGGCAAACTGTGGAAATTTTTCAGAAATGCAATTTTGAAACAACAAAATCTCGCTCTCTGATCAATTGAATTTGAACGTTATTCTTTTCAATAAAATTTTTACTACATACATATGATTTAAGAAAGTAAAGTATTTAATTGAACTTTGACAGACAACAGAGTTATTTCAGTCCTTAACGAGAAGTTTCTGTTTGTTCACAACTCTCACAAATGCCAAATGATTTAGATACGCATGTTCTCTTTCTCGAAGTACGAGCAGTATATTTATTATTAATAAAAATTGCGATCTTATTAAATTAATGAATGTTATGTAAATGAATGTAAGTGCAATGAATTTTATACTTATAGTCATTCCCTCGTCTCCCTGTCATTCGTGTTTACTATTTATTTATTATAGTGTTAATTACGGTTCAATCTCTGCAGAATCTTGTCATTTTAGAGATTAAGAACATTCCTGTTATAACAAATCTTAAATTTTATCGAATTTTGAAACATTCCATCGATTGAACGAGAAATAAATGAATCGAGAAGAGCACGTTATTACGCTATTGTGCATGCAAATTCCTAACATTAGTGTATATAGATACTCTGTGTATTGTTGCAAGTAAAATTAATGTCATTAAAGCTTCATATATGTAATATATGTGTTTAACATTTATTGTTATATCCCAAACTCATAGTACGCGGATATTCTTTACAAATTTTTTAATAGATATTTGTTTTATAAAGTTAAGATACCCCCCCACATTTGTATAAGAACTGCATTTTTTAAATATCTTTTCCGCTTAAGATTAATTAACATTATAATAATTAGCATGTAATTCAATAAAATAATGCAGAGTTTTTTGTATTAAATATTTTCTCAGCGATATAATAAAGTATATATTAAAACAATGCTTTTATGTAAAACAGTGTATTCTTTTAATAATGTCAACAATTTTTCAAAAATATTACTAAACTCGACGGCTGAAATATAATATTGACTGTTGCCGTTAGATGACGTTTGAGAGCTTCGTGGTTTTTATCCTTGACACCGCGAATGCGAACCATTGCGAACACGTTCGTCGGTGTTCGTCGATTCGGTCAGTTCAGTGCTTTGAGTTTTCGTAGTGACTTGTTATTCACGATAATTCGATGCATATGAGTACGTCGATTATCATGCGATGACGTCTTTCAACTATCTTTGTAGAATTGTCAGTAAGTGTAATGAAATATCGATCATGCGTGAAGTCAGTTGTGATTGTTACCGGTTCTTTAGTTTCCAGTGATTGTTTTCTAACTAATAACACAAGTCGACACAAGTAATCATTTTGTTTTTGTTCGATATCCATTGAGCAATAGACAGAATAATATTTTGTGCAATTGCAATGTGTACAATTGTATTTTGAGACTCATAGTCGATTAATTAATAAATAATTATAGAAAAGAAATGGATGGAAAAAACTGTCATACACATTTTACAAAGTAGTATCTTGTTAATTGTTTTTTAAATTTTGTTTCTATTTGTTTTATCTCATAAAAGTGTGTATATCTATCTCATTTTAAATACAAGTGTAAGAAAGAGCACTTGATAAACCTAATATTACAGAATATTCTGCATACTCATGATGTACCAATATTGACATAACCTTTTTGAAATGGAATACAATTTAACAAGGAAAAATTACTTGGTGCTATTTAATGTAAATGATCAAGTGTCATTTATCGCATATGACTCATTATATATGCATCACTTTTTTATGACATTTTATTGGTACCGGATGATAGTTTTTCACTATCAATGATTTTTAGAAATGTTTTTATTATATGATTAAGCAACTCTTATCTTGCAAAGATATGAATCAGGTCAAAGTCAACAAGTCAAACATTTCATTATAAGTATCTTATAAAATGTATCTTATAAATGATTATTTTGTTAATATATTTTCATTTAATGTGCTTTTAAAGATTAAAATTTCTTTTATAACTGCATTGTATAATTGTGTTTTTTATATCAGAAAAATAAAATCAGATAAGGTAGAAGAATAACAAAATTAATTTATTTTAATTTGGGATATAGAAAATGTTCCCAAAATATTAAGCCACATGAGATAAAATGTACAACTTTCAATGTTCAACTTTCAACTCATGTTAAGAACTTTGCAGATATTTGATGTAATATGATACTTTTTGATACAATTAGTAGAATACATTGGTAAAATTTGGCAAAACATTTTAAGAACACTATTTAATTTTGTTATGCACAAGAGATAGACACTTTAAATTTCAATCTACCCTGTACATGCAACTGAAGATAGTAATTTAAGAGTTATTCTTTGTACTAATTTTGGATATAATTTTTTTCAGGAAAGCAGCAATTTTTGCAATCTTACCCTGCACATATATACAAAGGTCTGCGTATTTTCTTTCGACATGAATCGAGTTTTGTACCTAAGAAAGTACTCATTGTTGCAAAACTGTCAAGATATCACTTTGAAAGATTACGAGAACCTGAGCTCAATGAATACCAATTGAAGTTGAAGCTGATAGAAAAAGGCTCTAATTATGATGCTATGCTTGCCAGTCACTTGGCCACTAAGACCGTGGAAAAACAAGTAACTCAGATTTTGCGGGAAATGAACATGGAGTATAAAGTAATAGATAGGTAAACTCAAATTTTTAGTAAAAATATATATATATATATATATAATATGATTAGCATGCAAAATTTATATATTAAATATTTATCGTAAAATAAATGTATGTTATATCTAAATATATCACACTTCTATCTTCAGAACAACTTTAGACCAGTCACATTTCACATGGGCGGATTTAATCCTTCCGATTGGTGGTGATGGAACATTTCTCTTAGCCTCAAATTTGATATTTGATAATAAAAAACCGATAATGGGCATTAATTCGTATCCGGAAAAATCAGAGGGCTATCTTCTGTTATCGGAAAAATATACGAGGAACATACCAGAAATCTTCAAAAGACTAAAAGCGGGACATTACAGTGTACTTATGAGAAGAAGAATCCGAATTACTTTGAAAGGAGAAGGAATATGGGAATCTCCTTTTCATTTGCATGAGAAAGGACGCGTTACTGGTGGTGAGAGGCACGTCATATTAATATTATGATTAAATATACATTTCTTCGATTGCAAACTTTACTAGCAATAATTTATATATACTTTTGGACTTACATTTAGTCTGTATTTCTTTTCTTCAGTGCCAATTTTGATCATCATGAGTCTATTACTTATAGGTTTTACATAAATGAGAATGTTGAAGATTGCAAACATAATGAACTACCAAAAGAAAGGCGTTTACCTTGGCTGGCACTTAATGAAGTGAGTTTATCAATGTTCCTCGATATACATACATGCGTTAAAAATTCAATAATGTGACTTACCCTTTTATATGTATCTTAGGTCTGATTTTTGTTGCTAGGTTTACTTGGGGGAAACAATGTCAGCACGGACGAGTTCTTTGCTCATAAAGTTGGATGAGGAGCAAAAATATCACAAGGTAAAAGGATCTGGGTTATGCGTGAGCACTGGGACTGGGTCCACGTCTTGGTATAAATCTATAAACAGTGTAAGTGATCAAACTGTGCGAGAGATATTAAGTCTCATTGATGCCAAGCGGCAATTCACAAATGACGAAATTGAAAGGATCTGTTCAATTTTCAATGGAAGCTTACGATATGATGCTGGTATGTATCATAAATTATTGTATTATATCCTTAAAGTAAGGATATTGGTCTAAATACAGTTATTTATTTACAGATGATCCTAAATTATGTTATTCCATAAGAGATCTCATAGTCACTGATGCAATGCCTGTTCCAAAGTGCACGCATCCTCGCGGTTTCTGCAGAAAGATCACTGTGAGATCTCAGTGTTACGATGCAGGTCTAGTTCTCGATGGAGGAATAGCAGTACCCTTCAACTTCGGTACCATTGCGGAAATAGAGAGTTTTCCTGAAGACTCTTTGCGAACTATTACTCTTCCCGACTGAATTGACAGTTTAAATTGGGACAATTCACGTAAGATTTCGTGATATAAGTAGGAATTTTTATTATGGAAATATCATTCCAACATTTTTTATAAAAATTTCTATGATAGAGAAATATTTAGGATATAATGCAGTGTATATTAAGAAAAATGTTTATTGGGAACAGTGTGGAATTATGTGCCTATATGAATGCAAAGTACTGTCGCATTTTATAAGCCAACCTTATATTTTTAATATTATAAATTGCTTTTGATCAATAGGTCCATTTCCGCAATAAGTAAATGTAATTACGCTATTATTAATTTTTAAATATATTTTTAGGATATATTAATATATTAATTCATATTAATATATATCAATAGATATATATTAATTCATAAATGTATATAAATAAAAATTATACAACGTATTTTTATCATTGCATTAATGATTTATATTTTTGTCATTAAAACGTATTTTTTGAGAAATTTTATATATTACATAAAATATTTCATCATTATTTATATATTTTTGAGATTATATGATGATAAAAAATAATATTGTAAAAACGAGATTTACAATAGCATAGGAATATGCAACTGTCAAATTGTCAACAACGGTTTTTTTAATGCTTTGAAGTGCTTTCAAACAACAGTTGTTAAATCAGTTGCTCCGAAACGCTTGTCTCGTGACAAACCGTCATGATGTACGAGAATCTAGATGCGCATGTCTAAATACAGGTGTAAATTGTACTTTATGCGTATTAGAGTATATTCATAAGAAAATGCATAAGAGAATGGACCAGTCCATTTTCTTATGTATATGCTTATGCATTGTGCAAAATTGTCTGAATACACTTTTATCACGTACTGAATTGTGAAGTACTTAACTTCTAACTTCAGACTGCTTTACATATGAACTCATATGACGCCGAGAAACGTCATTGTTCCTTGTTTATATTCGACATTATTAGAATACAGTGTACGCGCATTTTGTGTCAATGGAGAAACGTGCAACACGATGAACATCGTTTTCTTAGACGACTCGGCTACGTAGCCACATTTATGAAAATTTCTAGTTATAAAAAGGTAAGAAATAGTAAGAACTTCAGCGGAAATGACCGGCCACGATATATTGTATTGTCTTTCATTTTTGTGTTTTTTTTATTTGGAGCAAATGTAAATTTTGATCTGTCGAAGATATGTGAGATTCTTTTGTCGATTCTTTTAGCTCGGCTATCCGTCGCTTCGACAAATAGGTGATTGTGTTAAGGGTTTTGAGGTTAGAATGTTTAATTAACCTTTGTGACCACATCGCGCGTCAATCTAAACATGGAATCCTATGAATCTCTTCAATGAATTTATGTTGAACAGATTCGATAAAACAATATATTTATATTATGTAAATTTAATAATAGTCTCTTTGTTTTTTAAGAAATAATTTTTATATAGAATTAAATAAAAAGTCAGATATTTTTAATATTTTAAAGTCAATTAGTGGCAATCTTATAAAATTTATAATTAATTTACAATTGAAATATTAAATGTATCACATTTTTGCGGAAAAAAGCCATATACAGCGATAACAATTTCATCATAATCTGCTGCGGCGATACGTTATCAAATATCAATAATTTCATTTAATAAAATTGTCCAAAGGAAATAGCATTGAGACATATATGTGTTATTACATTTATGGCCATTGCATTGTTTTTTTATATCAGTACAATGATTCACTAATTATCTTATCATTGTGTGTCGTTAAATATTTAAGTTATATACGAAATAATTATAATCCTTTGATGATTCATAAACTTTAACAAATCAATTAGTTTATTATTTAAAATTATTATATAAAAACGCCATAATACAAACTTATAAAAATGAACTCTAAAAAGCTCTGAAAAGAAATTGGTCGACAATAAGATAGAGATTTTTTGTAAAAAGCATTCTAAAGAACAATTAAAATTTAGAAATCTATAAATGTATATATATAAATATATAGATTTTTTAAATTATTTAAATTTTACGAAAATTATATTCTTTATATCTGTTTCATGTTTTCAAATAATATTTTGAGTAAAATAATTTTTTTTAATTGAAAATAGATTTAGCAATTATTTAGCAAAAAATTAAGTATAATTCAAGTTGCAAAACCGCTTTCTTCAGTTATATATCTTGCAATAAACGTGCTTCCTGCCATATTGCGATATCAAGTGTGATATAAGATCGCAGTATTTTGTTGCATAAACATTTGCGTAAATATAGTAGTGTGCATATGTGTGTCGAAGATTTGCAATATGCTTTTATATGAATCACATACTTGCTCAAAAGATGGATAAATGAGTAAAATTGCTAAAATAAAAAATAATTTTATATGTAATAAATAGAATAGTGCCCGTTAATTGTTACAATTGTTAACGTGCTTGTACATGCGTTGAAATCGTGGCATAACTTATCGTATGCATAAATACATATTCTTATCATGTTCCCACGGCATAGATTTTTTTTTATCATATGCATATTATCATTGCTGATTTGCAATAGTTGCAGCGGATTGAAGCAATTGCAAGAAATACTGATTTCTCGGAATATTGTTTCAATGATTTTTTTGTCAGAAAGTTAATTTATCTGTTATATCTAAAGATTATTTATATAAAACCGCTACTTCTTTTAGTGTCAAAATAAATAACGGATCTGTAGTATATATTATACAAAAAATATCTTACGTCGCTGCTTATTCATGTGGGCAACTGTGATCAATTTATCGTAAGTAACATAAAAGTTCACCTAATTATCGATAACATGTTACACAATCTAGCGTGTGCATTCACAATTATTTTTGCAACACTTGTTGATCCCAAACATACTCATGTTATTGTTATTAAGTTCATTTGTTTTATTTGCGTATTTTCGCGTTTTCTGCATTTGAAATGGAATAGATATATATTCCAACTTTAGAAGAAAAAAAAAACTTCCAACTTTAGAAGAAGAAAAGAAAATATATAGAAATACTAATAAAAGTATTTTTTTGCAGGTCGACGTTACGACGACGACATTAAAAGTGTATCGGAAGGATGACAGAAGATGAGAGGCAAATTAGAATGGCCGCTGAGGCCATATTAAGCGGCTCGATCAACTCGCAAAGAAGTTCACTTACCCAGCATAGCATGACACGAACGCCGGATATCGTCCTCAGTGAGGACCTGATCGCAGGAGCGAGACACAACGGCAGAATGTCGAACGTCAGACGTTTCTTTTGTCTTTTCATTACCTTTGATCTTCTTCTTACATTCCTGATGTGGCTCATTTGCACAATGGTATGTTGACCCAATTGCATCTGAAACACGAATAAATTCACATAGATTAAAAAAATTGATTTTGTCTGAAATACAAGCAATTTTTTATTTTTGTAATGCACATGGTTTCTTTGCACGAACGAAACATTATCTTTTATTGCATATTTTTATTTTGATTTTTGCAATAGATATTTTTCATTTTCATATGCACATTTTTATTCATATACATTTTTACTTCACACTTTAACTTCACATTTTTTACTTCAATTGAGCACTTTGCAAAATATTTAACTGATATATTAAATATTTAACTTATATATTATTTATTGGTCACAAAAATACATTTGTACATCTTCATAAGAAATTCAAAGAATTTTTATCAGGAATGACCAGATGACCTGTCATGCATCTCTTTCTCGCTAAAAGTCTAATTTACATATTATCTACCAATGAGTAATATTTATGTAGGGAAGCATGATAATAACAATCTTATGTTTACAGTCTGTATACTATAACCCGAAGTTCAAAAATAACTTGTTTTAATTACTTCTTTGAATTTATTGAGGAAACGTTTTCATATTTTTTATTTGAATATTTGATTGAATAAATTATGCAAAAACACATTTAAGAAATTTAAAAAAAAGCTTATGAATGCTTTGTTTTACATTTGCAGATTGCAGGCGAAAATTTAAATACAGCTTTTGTAAATCAGGTGGTACACTATCATATAAAGACGTCTTTGTTTGACATTGTGGTAAGTACATTGTATCGTTTATTGGCAATGAGCTTAATAACGAAATGACGACGTTCGTCGTAATATTTTATTATTCATTGGGAGCAGAGATTTTACGGATTTCATCTTCTCAGATGGCAGCGATTTGCAGGTTCACGGTCTTGTTGCTCTTTTATGCGTTGCTGTATCTAAATCACTGGATCATTGTAGCTGTGAGTACATTTCTAATATTCATACAAATTAAATCTTTCCGCGAGAAAAATATTTATAATGAATAAATAATAGGACAAAAAGTAAAATAGGTATATTCTGATTCCCAACTATATTTATATAATATTATTTTTAATAAATTTGTGATATATGAAAATATATTTCAAGTTTTTTTTGTGTTTTATAGATATCAACTGCTACATCGTGTGCCTTTTTAATTGCTAAAGTCTTTCTTTTTGACGTAAGTGTTTTTGAAAGATGGACATATTCTCTTTATTAACTTAATCGACTTAATTCATTTAATTTAATTCATCTAATGTATCACGTTTTTCAGTGGACATCAGCTAACCAACCAGTATTCCAAGTTTTGCTGATTCTAACATCTTTTGTACTAGCGTGGGCAGAGGCTTGGTTCTTTGATTTCCGCGTGATACCTCAAGAAACTCAAGCGAGAAATTGGATTCGAAGTAAAACTCTCTCATTTTTTAAATCGTTAAGTTAATAAATGACAAGAAGAGTTATTATGTAATAAAGCTAAACAAACTAATCAAAAAATAAAATTTACAGATTTTCCAGATACAGAGAGAACTCCACTATTACAAAACATCGTTACCGAATCACGACAATATGCAGCAAATGCAGATCATATGGGTACATTTTTCACACCTGTGGACTCTTCTGATGACGAAGATGTCTCTAGGAAACATGAGGGTTCGAGGAGACTTTCCAAATCCAACGAATTATTTACGTCTATAGCGAAACTTACGCCCGATAAGGTTAGGATCTTATATTTGCTCCTATTCTAACATTTTAAAACAATTAAATTTTTAATTACAATAGTTAATTAGCTACTTTGTTTTTTTAGATTGATGAATATAAAATGAAGGCGTCTAAGTTGTTGCAAAATTGTCATAACCTGTTGACATCGAAGGAATGGAAGATTGAAACAGTAACAATCGATGGTGATGAAATATCTTACATGCAATTGCCACCAGAATTGAAACCAGATGGAAAGGCCATGAAAATCACAGTATGTCGTATAATCTTCAAATGAAATAAAAGTGGAAAAGTTTTATAAATAATTACAATGATTTAATCATTATTTTAGGGCATTATCGATGCACCTGCTAGCATATTAATCGACTGGTTGTTCGATGATATTGAGGAATTTCCTTCGTGGAATAAGCTCGTGACAGAATCAGTAAAACTACAGGTAAATTTTTGACACATTGCTCTGACGTTTGCCTATTCTTATAATTTGTTGCATTAACAGAAAATTATAATTATATATTAACAGAGTATCGACGAAAACACGGATATAGTTTATCAAATAACAAGCTCTCTTGGTGGTGGCCTCATTACTGCGCGAGATTTCGTTAATTTGAGGCATCGTAAGAAATGTGACAATTATTATATCACCGGTGGTGTATCGGTTCCTGCGGTATTAGTTCAGACTCGTCCAAACGTGACCAGGTGAGAGAGCTTACATCTTTCAATATATATATGTATGTATAAAAATAAAAAAAAATTGATTATGATTTTAAATTTTTTTCAAGGGGTGAAAATGGCATCAGCTGTTTCGCAGCAGAGGATTTATCCGATGAAGCTATTAGTAAGTGTCGCTTCACCTGGATACTAAATATGAATTTGAAAGGCTGGATACCGCAAACAGTTGTAGACAGATCTATGTCTACTGGTTTAATAGATTTTATGACAAACTTAAGAAAACATTTGACCGATTTGGAGAAGCCGTTAATGTAGTACAGTGTCGCTCGGTGGAGCCGATAAATTGCATCAGCTTCTGTGGACTATTCTAATTTATTTTAAGAAAAAAGGAATGCTGATAATTATAACGGAGAAAATGTCCAGCTATAATTGTGAGTAAATTATTCTCGTCAATTTAGCTTTATAAAAATTTTACCCATAACTGCGATATATGGATATTGTCTATACATTGTATAATTTTATTTTACAAATTATATGTTATTTTTTCTCAAAAGATTTTTATTTCTAACTATGATAAACATAGTAAAGAGTGATATGTATCACTCTATTATAAATTTTTTGTTTTTTTTGTTCTTTTTTTTTTAAATAAAGTATCTTGTTTAATAATAATTAAAAAATATATATTATATGTTTTTGTAAGTGCCTACGAATATTCGGTTAAGTGCATCTTTCGACGTACAGTGTATATATAGTGTAACGTAAATATATGACAAACGTACGCGTTTAATGCGCACATTTATCACGCGTCTGCTATTCATCCACGAGAGAATGAAAACATGATGTTCAAAGGATAATATGTAGAACATCATGTATTAATAATTTTTTATCGTAAATCATATTTATATTCTTTAGAGAATTCTTCTTCGCTTCCTTTAATTGCGCGAGCCTAATATATTGATGCTGTACATGTGCATTTAAATGAAGCATGCAGACATTGAATGAATGTTTCAGAGATTATCGCCCTTCAAATGTAAATTATTACGCATTTGATTAATTTTGTAAGATTGATGAAACGCACATTATATTTTAATAATACATTGAATCGAGTGCGCTATATTTTCTTGAAAATTACGATAAATATAGATTATATTTGCATATATTTATCATCGGCAAACTTTCTTCGATCAGTTGTCGTTAAACATTTAGCAATTTAATATGATGCGGAATGATCGCGTGGTCCGACGTGCACATAGTATGATTGTGCAATTTTTGGTGATGTGATATATCTATACGGGGGTGAGATAGTGAAGGGAGGTTTACGAACGCGCTTCCAAGTTCGAAGAACCATCTGCGCTATTTATGTTATCTGGGTGTACTTGTTGACTGAATTAATGCTATTAATTATATTTGTGATCAACATATGCAATTTTGTTATCCGGTATGAGATAACAAGGGGAATGTTTTTGAATGACTGAGTAATAACAATTACCTAGAAAAGAACAGAGGTTAGTGCAACCATGTTGATCTTTATTGACATTTCTTTCAAATTGAACTGCATTCACAGCTGAGGAAACAGAAATTGGCCTATTTAAATAAAGAAAGTAAAAGCATAAACGTAGATAATTATATGATTTGTTGAAAAATACATGAATTAGTCAGAAAGTCAATTTTGATTGCTGTATTTATATGTACATATGAATAAAATATTGTGAAAAGAGCTGTCAATGAGATTGGAATAGACGTCACGATAAAGTTACCTTTAAGCCGTTCGATGTATAATAATGTGTCATTCTAGATTTTATACAGCATGTCTTTGGCGTCCGCATGATGAAACGGCGTCTCGTCATTTTTAAATTTCTGTTTGTTATGACTGTTATTGTTAAAAAGAGTGTATGAATTTGATATATGACTGTATCGCATTGCAGAGCAAATGCGACGGAGCATGCGTGTACTAGACATTTTATATAAAAAAAAAGATTTAGGCAGAACTTCGTTTTATATGTTCGTAATATTGTACACATCAAAATGGGGACACTTGTATTATCGTTTTGTATGTGTCGTCTATCATTTACATCACTTGCGCGTATTTTCTCCTACATATCTTTCTGGAGATGTAGGATGCGTGATTCAATACTGTGTTAAATAGATCAACGATATGTTTAAACCAGATAGAATAACCGAAGATGATTTTATAAATCTGGTCTGGATTCGGATGTAAAAATATATTCCAGCTTTAAGTCAATAAATGCGAGAAAAAGATCTTCTTATTTTCCTCGACGCGTAAGCTTTCCTATCCTACGTTCGTATAAAGACATAATAGCTCTAATTTTGTGATCCGGTTAGTTTTGCTTTTGTGATCGCGCAAAGCCCGGCCGCTTTCCTCGGCGCATTAATTATTAATCACCGATCGGCTAAACGCGTTCAAATATATGTGCGGCAAGAGTATGCGGTATGCGAGAATGGAGATTAATGATAAAACGGATAGAGGCGGTAATTGCGGTAAATCTGTGCACTCTAGTACGCATTAATTAACATGATTATATGACTATGCATATCGATATTGCATCGCAATTACGTTAGGAGAATAATTAAGTTCGTTGTATCATATTCTGCATGTCAAAGTGTATCAAAGGAAAGAATTTTTTATTGAATATATAAATATATTGTAGCGTCGACAAAATTATATAATTAAAGTGTAGCAGATTAATTTGACGCGGTGGTTATAGAAATATTAATAATAAACAAAAGCCCCAAGAAACATTTATTTATAACGTTGGAGAAATAGAAGGAAACTAACAGGATAAAAATAAAACAATTTTCAAAAATCACATGTGTTAGATGTTACGAAATATAATTTTTTTATCGAAATTTATTAATCTGAAATTGTTGATTTTTACTTGTTTCAATTGGCAGAGAATATCTTAGTTTTTGATACATGATCTTTGGATATGTCACAAATATCATCTTCATTATAGAATATTTGTTATTTTTAATAAAAAAAAAAAGATTAAATATACCGACAATAAAGATTTCAACAAGTAATATTTTCCTAATAATGTTCATTAATACAAAAAAAGATAAAAAATGCTCATTACATTCGTTTTAAATCTTCATTAAGAGCTGAAGTTTTCCTAATTTAACTCCAAATTTAACTGTTTCATAAATGTTTACGTATTAGAGAAATGTAAATATAGCATCTGTGGCCAAGCTTGACATAGTGTTAAAGTTTACTGTGTCGTGTAGACCCTGCGCATTCCCGATCCTTCACTCGTGTCATCGCAATGTGTTCATTATCTCTGTTTATATATCTCCGTTTAATTTATTATGTCACAAAATTGCAATAGCTTGTCCAAACTTTGGATGAATTCGCCGTGCATCTGATTAGTAAATTCGCCTATAAAAAGATTATATAAAAAAAAATCCGTGTATAAGATTATTATTTACACAAATTCTCTCTGTATAGTAATTAATTAATGTGATAAGCGTTCAAATTTATGGCACAAGTTTCTGCACAAATGAATATTTGTGGCTTTATTCGAAAAACTGAGATCGAAAATGCGAACGTTTCGCAATATTTCGATGTAAATTGTGATTTCGCAATATTTCGATGTAAATTGTGAAAATTGGAAGACTAACATCGAAATGTAATTTCAAATTTAATCCCTACAATTTTGCATCGCAGCACGGAAAATAATGTGCTGTACAATGCATTCTGTCATACGTATCTCAAGAACTTAACACTATTAATCGCTCGATTGGTTAATTTGAAAATAATTAAGCACGTATATATGTGCGGACACACGAATCTACTGGCCGAGTGACATCGGTAGGTGGCAATTCATGGTCGACATTGCGGCAGAGATTGCAACGTGTATTCCAATTATTGCGAGTGCGACAATAGGACACACATCGCGGATCGTACATGGATGCGCGGATTCAGCCGGCATGGTGAATTGTTGCACTCCGAATCATCATTCGCGATTCGTCGCACGTATTTTGCTCGGCGTAGAATCGGTGAGAATTAGCATTTGTTTAGTTCTGGTCGGTTTGCCATTCGCGTTCAATTATATGTCGCGAATACGTTTCCTCGATACAGAATATTTACATTGTTCGATAACTTGACACAAAAGAGATTCATAATGTTCTGACAACAAAGATTTCAACAAACCACGCGCTCTCAACAATATTTATTAATACAAAAGAAGCATGAAAAAATTGTTTCTCACTATTCGTTCTGAACCTTCATTATTTGTTTCTTATGTTAATTTTCTTTATTATTAATTGCTACTTTTGTTAATTATTATATTTGACAGCAGATATCTAAGCAAGAAATAGCAGCAATCAGAGTTTACATAAAAAAAAAAAATACTTATTTGTTCACAATATCGTCGACAACGCAGCAATGAAAGCATCAACGCTTTTGAGAAACGTTGTTATATAAAATTATATTCTTTTTTCATCAACAGCGCAACACATATGCTATTGCAGCGGATAAACGAACTTCGTGGCAACGGAAGCCCGAGAGAGACGAAAGTCCTCTGACAAAGGGTGTTAACGTGCCAAAGGGAAGGAACTCTTCAATTACTGAAGTGAAAGCTAAAAGCAAGACGACGCCCGCAATTTATAATGAAGCAAAATACGATGAAAAATCCGATATTTTAGATGTTGATTACAGACAAGAGAAAAACAGCGCATCGAAATCAAAATTTGCATGTAGATTAACATTTTCTTTGATAAACATTAAAAAAGGTTTTTGATCTTTTAGACTATTTTTCCCCCTTCGAGGTGTTGTGTTATATATTTCATTTGAAACGTCTCTTATAAGATAAGAAAGCAATAAAATTGCTTAACTTTTATACATACATTTATGCGGCGACAATTTAAGATGCGGAAAGAATAAAAAATCACGAACTTGCTTTTGTAATGTAGAAAAATTCTACGATAAATACTAAAGTGAATGCGACTCCAAATTTTATCTAAAATTGACTAGTTCCTATTTTTTTATGAAACAGCTGGGAGACGTTTTTTGGCTTCACTATGATACGCGGCTAATTACGTAATTCTCAAAATATTCTGCTGTATTTTGGTCAGCTTATTTTCATATTTATTATTTAGCAACAGCAAAATTAACGCGAAACTGACTTAATGCAATAAAACTATAATTTGATTACAAATATATTATTGCATCGTAACTAAATTGCGCACGTTAATTAATGCTATTCTTAATTAACTCAATTTTATCTCTTGCAATGTAAATATATGCTATTTATAATACACACTTATACGTTACAAATGCATGCCAGAAAAAAGGTAGCAACGACTGTTCCAAGTTTAATTTGCGCGCATCGCTGCGATTCGGCCCGGAACTTTTCGCATTTCGATAGACGGAAATCTGTCGGGGGATTTTTTTCTCGTTGTCATGCACGCTCGGCTCGCCGCGGGCGGTACAAAACGCGGAAGATAATGCGGGTGATTTTTGCGCGGGTGGACGGACGGCTGCAGGAGCAGCATCCGTGAGGAGCAGGTGGCGCTGACGCAGGGGCTGGAGATCGCGGTGGACGAGCCGCGCCAGTCGGTTCCGCGCCTCACGCGTGTGCGCATCTTGTGTTGTGCTTTTGTCCGCGTCGCCTGCGATCTGGCGATCAGTTTGAGCAGTAGTAGTTCGCCGTAGAGCCTCGTGTAAATTTATTCGCGTCGTGGCCACGCGTCGTCGATCGGCGTCGTTAAATTAAACGCGCGCGCGCGGTCGTATCGCGTTCCTTTTCGCGATTTCCCGCACGACAGGGCGCCGGCCGAGGACGATGAGGACGACGAGGATGTGAGAACGGCGCACCTGGAGCGTCCCGATCCGTGGTGCGATGGCGCAGAAATGGTAAATACATCTGTTTATTTTGCTTTCTTCGCGCGATTCCTCTTCACGCGTCCTCTTCCTCTTCCATTGTTCTTTTTCCGCGAAACGTCTCCGCGACACGCGCTTGTTACCGCGCCGGTTATAGCATCCCTCGTTTTTTCGATCGTTCGCGGAAGTACTTCGGATTTATTCCGCTGGCCGATTGGCTGTTACTGGTTTTATTATACATATGAGCATAAAAGCGGATGATATATTCCCGGGATACGTACTGCTCTCTGTATGATTATCCCTCGTTCAACGATGATACGTCGAGCGAATATAATCATGATTCTGTTATGATAAGTAGTAATATGTGAAAGAATGCGATGCGTAGAGATGTTTACGATCCTTACAGATAGTGAAAACAGTGTCGTAAAATGGAAACAATCTTTATAGCACAGAAATCAGAGATGCAAGATTATGTACAAATGTTTGTCTTTATATACGATTAGAAATTATTTGGAATCTAATAAAACTTTCTTGGTAAAAGTTTATAGTTTGGAAATTTGTATAAGAAAAAGAGAATAAATGCTTCGATTTTGTACACTAAAATTCTTTCTGTGAATTATTTCCGCAGTAATTTATATCAATGCTTGTATCGACATTCTTTCCAACACAATATCACAGACGGGATCAGGATTTAGAAAAAAACAAAAAAACGGTTAATTTAAGGAACATCGTAAGCTTGTGAGTGGTTAATTTAGATTATCGTGTCTGGAGGCAGCAGTCCGGTAGCCATCAGTTGCGATTGGCTGTAATTAAGTAAAACTTTTTCCTCGATATCCGCAAAACATCAACACTTAATGGGCGATTCTTAATCAATTTGGAATTTTCCCGAGTGAAAGTGTCAGGACATCAAAAGCCCTCGAATAATTAGCGACAGGGGGGGGGGAGGAGCCCTTCTTGTCCGTCTCTCTAATTGATATAAAGTGTAATCTGATAGCATGAATGAACGAAATCGCTCTCGAGTGTCAATAGTAACGCGACGAAATTATTTTCGTTCTCGACGACGACCTTGGCGCTGAATTGACATGACATTTAGTAAACCATTCGGTTCCAATCTAAACAATTAACATCCGACCGTGCGTGTTTAATTGAATACCTCCTTTTGTTGGACATTCAATTGGTGCGCGTTCGAAATTCGGCTCGCGGTTACACGAAACGGAGCCAATTCCATGCTCTTTGTCAGAGGTCCCTTTTAACCTTTGACCTTCACCGTCATGTTACATATATATATGCATGTATAATATATATATATATATATATATATATATATATATATATATATATATATATATATATATATATATACGTATTCTCGCGCGCAACTTGCGGCGCGATGCCCTCGTTCCGCCGCGAGAGGCAGGAGATCCCGTGGTTTCGAATGCATTAACATCGGAGTGCGCTTGAAAAAGCGAACTCCTCGCTTTCGCAGTCGCGTTTCCGCCGTCTGATAACTTAGTTTAAAACTACTTTGTGTAATGGTAACTTACAAAAGGGTCCGGGTTTCATCGCTCTGTCATGCAATTCGCCTTTCTCAGCTCTGTTGACACTACGATTTTTGTCAAGCGCGGCTGAATGCGGTACACAGAGAAGTCTGGAATCAACGAACGAGTGTTAAATTTCTGCGATATTTAATCTGACTTTCGTATCGCAAAATCACAGGGATTTGCATAATGTATCAATGCGGCACAACAAATATTTAACGGCTTCGTCTCGACGCAATCAACGAAAGATATTTTTGGACTTTGATTAATTTGCACTATATTTGATTTATAATAATTGAAAATAACATCGCATTATTGAAATTTATTTAATAGCCATTCTGCAATTTATATTTATACGCGTATTGCGCTCGATATATGTATAATCGCTTTAATTTATAGAAAAGCACAATTTAATGTAAGTAATTAAATAGTTTAATATTATTTAACATTTATTATTATTTTTGTTACCTAACGCTAGCAAAAATATTTAACTCGCAAATTGTGTAATGTAATTCTACGTTGGCGTGGATGCCATGCTAATAAAATTTCTATCGCGTGCGCGAGCGAGTTAAGTCTCCCGATTGCATTCGACGTTCGTTGTGGAATTCAGACGTTGCATACTTAATGAGAATGCGGCTGGATATGCGAGCGTTTGTTTAAACTGCAAAATACACGAAATATGCAATTTACACGTCACGCTTGCAGAAGCGGGTATCTGGCGAAAAATTTCTAGCCGAACTCGTCCGTTCCGAATCTTTCTTCGCGTCTAAACATAAACCGTGACTCCGAAATTTTGTTCTGAGTTTGTGCAATCGGACGTGCGGGAAGTTCATTTTGAAGAGTAATCGTCCGTGCGTTTGTCAAGCATATGGTAATAGTTTATGAAACAACCTTGCAGTTGTCTTCCCGGTGAACGGACCATTAATTTAAAGTTGGCTTTAATTCAAGACTAATCTCTCTGACGTCTTCGCAAGCGAATAATCGTGTTCGAAATTTTCGTCCGCATGGGAAACGCCACTAGTCACGTCACGTGAGAGGAAAACGCGACGCTGTCGAATGAGAAACGCGAGTTTTGATGAGCGATGTAAACCGCAATTTATGAACACGAATCTGCAACATTGTTACATTTTAATCGTATATATCGCGATTTTTTTTCGAAAACGTTCCATCGAAGGAATTAAGGAATGTTCGTCTATCACTTTTTCGTTGTTTTCGCAACACCGCTCATCGAAACGATAATCGGCTTTCGAGGTACGATGGGTCGGGCGAAAGCTGCACGATGCACTGCTACAATTTTAGGGAACGCGTACAAAAAACGAAATGCATATCGGCAATCGAATCCGACGATTAATATGATAGGCATTTTGATAAAATTCCATCCTTGTGCAATTTCTGTTATAATTATGCCACTTATCGCGAGTGTTTCGGTTTTCAAATTATATCTAAAATTGCTGGCTAATATAAAATTCGAGTTCCGGGTAGTCGCTTATATTATGCATCGCATCGACGAAGAGCACTTTAATGAATAATTCAAACTGCACGCGTATGAAAGTCGTAACACACATTCGCTGTTAATCGAATGGAGCACTCGGCGTCTCGTAATCTTCAGAAATACCCGTGTAACATCGCGCGGGGAGAGAGTTTTGTCGCCGCGTGTGTCATATTTAAATCTATCGCTGCCTTTTCACAATGATTTCGGGCGAGAGAAACAGAGGACAGAGAATCAACAACCTGTTGAAGCATACTTTTCAGCACACACTCGCGCGAAGTCCTTTTATCAGCGGCACGTTTGTCAGGATCTCGATTTAGCCGTGCGCCGTTTCTGCCGTGGTGCGCGTGAGAAAAATGCCTGTCGTAAATATAGCGTTAAATTAAGCGGACGTGCATCGAGAATTCTTGCGTCCGTTCGATGCGAAGACGTTTTAAATCGCGCACAGCGCACGAGCCCGGAATTCTACCGGTCGGGATCTGCTTTACGTGACGTAGAAGTAAATGTGACTTTTACGGTCGTGCGACTCCATGAATATGCATGGCTTAATTATATTCTCCGCCCGGCGCGTTTGTAAGCGATTTTCTTCTGAACCCCGGAATTTCAAATGGCGCATAAAAACGCACGATCGCTTGCTCATTCGAAATTCAGGGGCTCACGCCAAGTATTTATTAGCGTTAAGTGCGATTATGCGAACCATTATTGCGCGTTCACTTCGTGTTCCTCGTTTACATCTCTCCTCCCCCCCCCTCTCTCTCTCTCTCCCTTCCTAGTGTGCAGATAAAATTCGTGATTGAATATTCGAACTCAGATAAATCCTGTTCCAACTCCGATACCGCCTTAATCATCGCACGTCATATTATACAAACAGGATTCGCGAGTAGATACCTGTCCGTTCGTTGAATACGGGAGCAGGCGGACCGAAATAAATTCTCCTCCGCGGCGAGTATCGACCTGACTGTATTAAGTTTTGCATTCAGCATTCCGCATTCAAGATTGCTTAACCATGTTAAGAACAATGAGCTCCGACAGCAGCGGCCGGCTCGCCGGCCTCATTAACGCGCTTCATCGGCAGCGACCGCGCGCCGCGCCCCGTTGATTTATTCAATAAAAGGGAAAACGGAACCGCGCGCGCTTTACGGTTCATAAAACTGGCCGTTTAGTCTCTTTTGACTTTATGCCTCTCAGTTCTTTTTACGGCGCTCCCCGACGGAGAAACTTTCATTGCGCGACCGCGAGAGAGGCTCTTTTTCTCATCCCTCCTGCCCTTCTCTCTCTCTTTCCTTTCCTCCCCCTCCTCTCTCTTTCTCTCTCTCTCTCTCTCTCTCTCTCTCTTCTCTTCTCTCTCTCTCTCTCTCTCTCTCTCTCTCTCTCTCTCTC